TTTAGGAATACCCGATGCTGGAAGCTTGGATATGAGGGTGGTGCAAAAGCTAATGGCACGCAATTATTTATCGAAGATCCACGTACAATTTAAAGTCGATTTCGTTATATTCATTAACACGCACTGATACCCTTAAAAATGTATGAAGCCACATCTTCTCCCCCAGCGATGTGTTAATTAGTAAAACTTGTTATCAATAACACCATTATTATCTTTAAAAAATACTTAAAAATCTAAAAATATATTCTGACTTTAAATAGGGTTGATAAACCGTAGAAAATGAATCAATCAATGAAATACCGTTTAGCTACATAGTCATGTCTTTGAGGGTCATTTACATTCTCTGGAATGTAAAAACTACAGTGGCTGGAAAGTGAGGGATCAATTTGCATATTGTTTTTAATCTTGAATCAATCCCCTACTTTATATACACTTTATAATTTCATTTTAGTTTATCAAATTCTGATTCTGTATGAAATCACCTCTTCTCCTCCAGCTATGGGTTAATTAGTAAGAATTCTATCACTAAATCATTATTATCTCAAAAAAAATTTCAAATATTCTATAAATATTTCTTGGCTTTAAATAACCTGAAAAGGGTTGATAAACCGTAAAAAACGAATCAATCAATCTAACACCGATTAGCTACACAGATTTCGTTCCTCTCGTTATAAACTTTACGGTTAAAACACGTCATGCCACACATATTGTAACGAACCACTGTACTTAATTTAATGGTTAGATATAAATTCCACTTGAACAGCTTATTTCCAGGAACCGCTACTTTGTAAAACCGACTCCCAAGAGGATGCTTCCTCGATCATCAGAATCTTAATCTGTTCAAGTCTAGGGTTAACTGTTATCTTTACGGCATATCTTCATAAATTGCGCTTTTTAACTTTTATTCTTACCACTTATGCAGCAACCCTGAATAACCTAATAATATGTGTGGCTCATGGATCGTGTGAGTCTTGGATAGTGTGAAATGTTACCGTTTCCTTCTCTACTTCCTATCATTTGTATCTCCTTTGGAATATTTGTCTTTTTCGCTATCCTCCTCACCTTCTGGTTTGCCGATTTCTTAGTTACTCTCTTCATTGTTTTCTTCTCATATTCTTGTCAATATTTCCTGAGCGTGTTAAATTCTAAAGTGTACAATCCGTTCTTTTACATAAAAAAATAGATTTCCTTCTCAAAGACTGATTGTCCTACCAAGGCTGAAGTGTCTAGTCTGCCCTATTTTTTTTGTCAACATTTGAAAGCTGAGTTCTTCCTTCTCCCCCAAAAAACTGTTGACCTACCAAGGCAAAGGGGTCAAGTCTTCTCTTTTACTGACACTTTTAAAGCACAGTTCACATTCTCGCAGACCAGTTTATCTTCTATGACTAAATTGCACTGTCCACACCTTTAGCTACAAGGCTGGGAATCGGTGTTTCCTTCTCCTCGATCTGTTGCTTTACTAAGACTAGTGTCCATTTGGAAGTATTATTGACAAGGTTTTTAAGCAGAGTTTTCTTTTTTCTAAACTGTTAACCCTATCAAGGCTAAATTGTCTAGTCTTCCCTCTTTTGTCAACGATTGAAAACATAGTTTTCCTTCTACTTGACTGACTAACCACCCAAGATGAGTGAGGTCAGCCTGTCCTACTCTTTAAAGCAGGGCTAAAGAAAGAACGTGTTCATGCCTTTTCCAAGATTAATAGTGCAAATTGAGCAGACTCTGTAGGCCATTGAACATCCTACACCGATGCCGTTTTCTGCGCCAATAACCAATGAACTACCTGAACATTCACCTAATGATTGCAGCATAAAAGAAGTTTCTTGAATAATAATAATCAAAAGTAATTGCAGTTGTTGTAAAAAAATAATTAGAATATAAAAAAAAAGCATAAAAAACAACATCTAATTGAAACATGGCAATCTCTTAATGATATTTAATTTCAATTCCAGCGAATAGTCTTTGGAAATGGAATGTGCAACCGAAAATGAATGCAATAACTGAATCTAATTAGTAAATGACATTTTCATTTTCCTTCTCTGTGGGCCTTTAATAAGCATGCAACAAGATATTTTTTTAAAATTTGACAAGCAGAATTCTAAAATCAAATCTCGGTAATGTCAAGTCTTTATTTCAACTTTTTTTTGTTGTTGTGATGTAAACGAACACTCATTGACACTTTTGCAATGTCACCGAATACTCGTTGTCAATTTTCGTAATGCTCGTTGTATTAGAAACTTTGTAATCACAGATACAACTATAGTAACCCCGTTGAACAATACTGGTGTCAGAGGCCTTCGAATATCACTCGCATTAATAATGTTTTTACGATAATACTCGTTCGGATACTAATCCGTATAGTAATCCGAAAAGAGAAATAGTATAGAGAAAAGAATAGTGAATAGCTGACCGTATATTATAGAGGATAGACTAAAAATAGCGATCCGTTAGTAATAGAAGATAGACTAGAAATAGCGATCAATTAGATAACTTTCAACCCGCTACTTATATGTTTCCTCTATGGTCACATAGTCTACTTAATTCAATAATGGGATCGCCTGTGTTTGCTCACTGGCGATCTATGTTCAAATCCAAGTGTCGGCAGCTACACTTTATTCCTAGATATAACAGTTTTGTTTTTAAATCCAAGTAAGACGACAATGTTACTCGGACATAAGGGGTTACTGAGAATGAAAGAGAATGAGAAGAATTTCAGGAAGATAGAAGATGGCGATTAACGTTGCCTTTACATCACTAAAGATTGTAGATATCAGTGAAGCAAGACATTTAACAATTAGAGTCCAACAAAAAGTAGCTAGTTCAAAAATAAAACAGTGGGACCTATCTGACAATCTAGTAGCATGCTTAAATTTATGCCGTCGTAGAACTAAGGAACATCAGAACAATTGCCATGAAAATGTTTGTAGAAAAGACAAGAAAAAAAACCACATCACATCGGTGAGAAAGTGACTGAAATCGAGATGCCAGGTCAGGATCGATTCCTGTATTTCGTGTAGCTAATCACAAATGAAATACTGATTAGCTACATCGGCCACAAAGTGAGGGATCCGTTTACATATTGATTTTAATATAGTATAGACCCCCACTTTATATCCACATTATATTGTTTCTTTATCAAATTCTGATTAGAAAATAATTCTACAATCAAAAAAGTTTTCTGGCTTTAAATAACTTGTAAAGGGTTGATAAACCGTAAACAATGAATCAATCAATGAAATATCATTTAGCTACACAGTTTTAGATTTATTTATATTCTCTGGAATATAAATGTATAGAAACTAATGTAGACAAAAAGTGAGTGGTCAGTTTATATATTGATTCTTATATAAAACTGATCCCCAATTTTATATCCATATTATAATTCCTTGTTTCTTTATCAAATTCTGATTAGAAAAATATTCTACAATCTACAAATATTCTTTGACTTTAAATAACCGGCAAAAGGATTGATAAACCGTAAAAAACGAATCAATCAATGAAATACTGTTTAGTTACACAGGCAGGATTTATTTACATTCTCTGGAATATAGAAACTAAAGTGGTCACAAAATGAGGGAACAGGTTGCATATTGATTCTAACATAGAATCGATCCCCAACTTTATATAGACATTATAATTTCTTATTAGTTTATCAAATTCTGATTATATATGAAACTACCTCTCGTCCCCCACCTGTGGGTTAATTAGTAAAACTTAATCATTATTATCTCAACAAAAAACATTCTTCAAATCTAAAAATGGTTTCTGGCTTTAAACAACCTGCAAAGGGTTGATAAGCCGTAGAAAACGTACCAATGAAATACTGATTAGATAAACAGGCATGCCTTTTAGATTTATTTATATTCTCTGGAATATAAATATTTAGAAACTAACGTGGAATTTTGTCAAGAATCTCAAGATATGGAAGCAGTATTCTATGCACGGACGACTGGTAGATTTATAGATGTGTAAAATGGATTCTGGCACGACAGAGTGAACTAATTTTATTATCAGCTGACCTAGCAATGGATTTAATATAGTCTTTCCCCTTCATGTCAGCCTAGAACATTAGCCCGAGAAGGTGCAATCAGTCATTCTCCTGTAGGCTAAGTTCAGCCATGTTGATGGAAGGCATAATGGAGCCTCTCATTTTGTTTTAGAAGCGTTAAAATTAACAAGCCATTCCTTGTCTCAGTTAACAACAGACTGTGAGTCGTTTTTTTTAGAGATAATATTCGAGTGAAAAACTAGTGGTTTCTAACGCTGAAGTGGATTGTTGGCAAGAATCAATGAATATATACATATATATATATATATATATATATATATATATATATATATATATATATATATATATATATATATATATATATATATATAAATATATATATATACATATAAATATATATATATATATATAATATATATATATAAATATATATTTATATATATATATATAAATATATTTATATATATATATATATAATATATATTTATATATATATATATATATATATATATACATATATATATAAATATAAATATATATATATAAATATAAATATACATATATATATATAAATATACATATATATATATAATATATATATATATATATATATATATATATATATATATATATATATATATATATATATATATATATATATATATATATATATATATATATATATATATATATATATATATATATACATACAATGAAAGGAAATTCAATTTTCGACGATTCATCAGGATTATTAATATATAATATGAAAATGAATAATAAAAAAAAACGAAGGAATTTATGTAAGAACTTGATATTTTATTTAAAATTATATTTTAAAGAATTCACTGGAGGTTAGCATCAGCCTTCCATGAGCATAAAAAAGAGAATCTATCAGTAGACCTCGGAAATATTTCGATATAATCACTGTCCGTCAATAAAAAGTAAGAACTTAAAGTAGAAACTAATCGAGAAAAAAAGCAAGTAGAAAATGTACCAAAAACAAGAAAGAAAAAAAGAAAAAGAAAAAAACGTAAAAAGAAAACTTAAAAAAAACATTTTCTTCTTTTCTGTTACAGTGCAAATTTTTTCTTTCAAAAATGTTTGAATTCCGTTGACCTACATGCGAACTGCCGAGAAAATATTTTTGAAAAATCTCGATTGGGAATATTTTTGAAAAGAAAAGAAAAAAAAAATATGGAAAAACTATGTAGAGAACAGATTTTTTTTTTATTATTCATTTGGAAGATGAAGAACTAAATAAAGAAATAAACCGAAAATTGACGGCTGAAAATATTAAAGTCGATTAATTCCCAAAGAAGAAATAAAAAAAAGGATATAAAAAAAATGAAACAAGAGAAAATGGTTCAATAATAATAAAAATAATAAGGACCAATGCTTGCTAACTAGGAATTATAAAGCACATATACTAAAATATTGTGTCAGCCCAAAATGCAGATTCTGTAATAAATATCCAGAAACGATTGATCATCTTGTATCAGGTTGTACGGTGTTGGCACCCACTGAATATAAAACCCGGCATGACAGAGTGGGCCAATATCTGCACTGGGAAATCTGCAACTTCTACGGGAAGGAAACTGAAAGAAACTGGTATGAACACCACCCAGACCCGGTTACGGAAATAGGACCTGTTACAATTCTATGGGACTACACAATACACACTGACAGAACAATCAAGGCCAACCGGCCAGATATTGTTATTAAAGACCACAAACAAAAACGGTGCCTCCTTATTGATATGGCAGTCCCTGCTGACTGCAATGTATCTTTGAAGATATTCAAAAGTTGTCAAAGTACAAGGACCTTGAAATAGAAATCTCGAAAATGTGGCATAGGGAACATCAACAATCCCTGTTGTAGTTGGAGCCCTAGGAGTGGTTGGAAAAGATTGCAGTAGACTAATTGAAGGAATTCCTGGAAGTCCATGCCTCAAGGAGATACAAAAATTGTTCTGACAAGTACAGCCCACACCTTACGAAGGGCTTTATCTATGTAAATTTTTTTGTCAGTGGAAAGTGTCATGACGCCATTTCTAACCTTAGGTCCCTGAGAGGGACCGGGAAAAGAAAATGTAAACGCCAGAAATCAAAGAAAATAATAATAATAATAATAATAATAATAATAATAATAATAATAATAACATTTTGGGTTTGCGGTTAACAATGGCTGTTCGAATTCAAAACTCGAAAAAAGAAACTGTCATTTCGACCAGACAGACCGCCATTTTTTTCTCAATGTGTCACGTACCTGTAATATTTCTTGGTAATATTAATTTATACAGGACACAATATATATATATATATAATAAATATAATAAAATTTGACTATTTTTTATCTTCCATTTATTTTCCATATTCAATATCAAAACCTTAAAAGTAATAAAAAAAGCTTCAAATGATTCTTTAAATGTCCTGGACACTGGCAGAGTATCTGATTGTTCGTGTTTCGGCACCGGTCCACAGACAACTATTTTGAATAGCACTGATTTAAATGAATGTTATTCACTTCATCCATTTTATTCAGTTAAGACATTTCCCGCCGTTTTTCCACACAGTAGAATAATGGTTTTGCGTTCGGACGGAGGAATCGGAGAGCCGAGTTCAAATTCAAGTCCATTGAATACCCTTACGCAATACGACTTTTGGGAAATGAGCAAAACAGGGGAAACTGGGCTTGCTTTTGTTTATTTAACGGCATATCAACTCCTTCATGGTTCATTGCCTAAATTTATTTTTCTTGGGAACATTAGTAATTTCTTTTTTATAAAAAATATATTGCTCGTAATATTTTGGTTCGTTCTCTGTCTTGCTAGAAAATTTTTCTCGTCTGAGTTCAATCCTTCAAATCGACAAATCAACCATTTGTCCTTACATCGAATACTGTTGCCATATATGGTCTGGTGCCCCCACTGTTCATATCGAGGTCATCGACAAAATCCAGAGACGGATATGCAATGTGATAGGTCCTCATCTGACATCTCGTCTACTGTCACTTTCTCACAGACCTGCTGTGGCTTCCCTCTCTCTTTTCTAAAAATATTTTCAACTGCTCTGGTGAGCTACTTTCACTGGTAATCTAACTGCCTGAACTTAAGCGTGCTACTAGGTTGGCATCTCGATCCCAACCTTTCACTATCGAAATACTTAACGCTTCTTCTCTCGCACTTCCCGACAGTGGAGTTCCCTTCCTATTACTTACTTCCCTGATAACTATAATCTTCAAATATTCCAGTGTAATGTCAATCGACATCTTCTGTTGCGTTGATCTTTATCCCTTTCTCTTTATCCTTTCCTGAAATACTCCTCTTTACTCTTGCCCTCACTCGCAGTAACCCTTGAACGTTAGTTGCACTCTCGCCTTGCTTATAAAAGAACAAAACAATATATGTATATATATTACTAGCACCATATTTTTCCCTTAAAAAACGTATTGCTGGTATTTTTTTACATTGAAAATGTATTGCTGACCCCTTCACTATAAAAATATATTTATACACATTCGTCGTTTTTGACTCCAGTTTGTGTATTCACTATTTGCCCATAGCTTGGACCCTAACAGGTGCAGCTACCCTGGTTAAGGGTGGACCTGGGAATACCAGCAATTTAGGGGCAGTTCCATGCTCTGTAAAACCTCCCGATCAGAGGCCTTGATACTGGACGGAGTTTATTGTCATACCCAGGGCGTTAGAGATTGGGTCATATAGTCATGAGTGGCAACCAGCCTAGGAGAAAGAAGCCCTGAATTCAAGCCACCTGCTGCCTTGTAGCTCCTGTCTCTTTAGGCAACGGCTAGAAGATGGTTACTTCAAAAACAAATCCAGTTCTGAGAGGATGGACGGGGTAACCTACGTCTACATCCCGGTGGGGAAAAAAACCCCGGCAAACCATTGCAATATTCTGCCATGGAATGGTATTTAGAGTAACAAAACAAAAATAAAGAACTCCATGGAGACACGGTGGAGTCATGGATAGCGGCTCGAATTGTAGAATTCGGCGGAGGTCGAATTCCAGTTGAGGTCGTTACAAAGAGAAGAAAAGGAAAAATATGGAAAATTATGTAGAGAAAATGAACGAATTTATGTAACAACTCAGTATATTATTTTATTTATTTATTTATTTTTTAATTAATTCGCTTAAAAATAAATTTCTTCATCAGTAGATAAAAAAGATATGTGTAAAGCCAGGATAAATCATTTTGAAGTTCTACAAATTCGATCGTTAATAAACTTCAAAATTTTCCTTAAAACATAAGTAGATCATTTATCAGGTCATCCCATAAGTTCTGTCCAAATTTTAACTTTTTGTTAAAATGAACGAAATTTAAAGAGTATTTTATAATGTCTAATGGAGCTGAACATTATTTTTATGTTTAGATGCATTTAAACTGATCAAATTTTATTTCAGAGAACAATAAAATTAAATTTTGTTTGGTTAAAACTCTGCTAACATGGAAGTACCCAAGAATCATTTGAGGCACATAATGCTTTATGAGTTCAAGAAACTCAGCAGCCAAAGTGGCTAGAAATATTCACTCAGTTTATGGAGAGGAATGTGTGAATGAAAGAACTTGCAGAAGATGGTTTGCAAAATTCAGAGGTGGAGATTTCACCCTTGAAGATGAAGATCGAACTGGACGTCCAGTTGAGTTTGATGAAAAGCTTCTTGAAGCAGCCCTTGAAGAAAATCCTGCTTTATCAGTTGAGGAATTGGCAGTGGTTCTCAAGCATACAACTGTTCATCGTCATCTTCAATAACTTGGAAAAGATCCTAAACTTGGAAAATGGGTGCCTCATGAATTGTCTGAAAACAATCTCAAATCCCGAGTTGACATCTGCTCTTCTCTCCATTCTCGTCAACTTGTTTCACATTTTTTTAATAGACTTGTGACTGGCGACGAAAAATGGATCATTTATCGAAATGTTAAGCGTCGTAGACAGTGGCTTGGTAAAGGGGAAGGGCCCCAGCCACAGCCGAGAAGGGAACTTCATGGGCAAAAGGTTCTTCTTTCAATCTGGTGGGATCGCCAAGGAATAATCCACTTTGAATTCTTACCACCTAATGCAACAATTAATATTCAAATTTACTGTCAGCAATTAGAGCGTTTGAACCAAACTATGAGGGAAAAAAGACCTGCTCTAGTGCATCGAAAAGAGGTGATGTTTCATCAGGACAATGCGCGATCCCACACAGCAAGAATCACGTCACAAAAAATCGAAGAACTTGGTTGGGAGAAAATTCCTCATCCACCTTATTCCCCCGATCTTGCTCCTTCAGACTGCCATTTGTTTCGTAGCTTACAGAATCATTTGGAAGAAACAGCTTTTGTAACACAGGAAGAGGTTAAAACTGACGTTTGTGAGTTCTTCGAATCAAAGCTAAAAGAATTTTACAGTAATGGAATTAGTAAGCTTGTTAAGAGATGGAAGGAAGTCATAGATAATCAGGGAAAATACATTGTTGATTGAATCTGTAATTAAATGTAACATTTGGTCAGTTGTTTTCTTTATTCAAAATTCGGACAGAACTTATGGGATGACCTGGCAGAATTTTTTTTACACCAAATCAAGGCGGGAGTGCCATTAGCACGCGAGGGGTTACAGAGGATTGGGAGCAAGAGTAAAGAGGCGTGATAGAGGAAAGGATGAAGAGAAGGACGGGGAACAGATCAAGGCATCTGGAAATGTCGATGGACATTACATTTGAATAGTTGGAGATTATAGCTATCAGGGAAACAGGAAAAGGGGAGGGAGTTCCACAGGCGAGACGTGCGAGACATGAAGCTAGTGGAATAGAAGAGACGGCTACATCTAACCGTTTCGACGCTGAAAAGGTTGGACTGAGATACCAGCCCAGTGGCACGTTTAAATTCCTGCAGTTTAAGAACCAGCGAAAATAGCTCGTCGAAGCAGTTACCGTGAGATTATTTGTAGAAAAGACAGGAGGAGGCGACGGCACGTCTCTGATTGAGCGACTCTAAGCGAGATGAGAGATCAGGGTCAATCACACTGCATATCCCTCTAAGGGTAGGGTGAATCATTC